AAGGACGCATGTGCGCAACAAGGAGTTTTCGGGAGACATCATTCTCAGGTGGGTCATCTCAGAGTTACACTCTGGGAAAGTGTTAGAAATAAGGTCAGTGGTGGTCCATTTTCAAGGCAAGGCATTGAAACTTGAATGGAAAATTACTGATAGTCTGCTTGCATAGCAGCCTGCAGACGGACCTGACAAAGTTCATGCACTTGGAGAGTCCCGGGGCGAGGGGGCGGCGGGCGGGGGCGGGGACAGCCCTCCATGCAACGACTGGCCACTCCAGGGGCCTCCAAGCAGAAGACCCCAGAGGCCAGTGTCTTCAAAAGAAGGAAGCATGAGCTTTAAACACTGGCATCCTTTGGTGACACACGGTTACCCAGCGAGGATGATGTTGCAGCCAGGGAACATTGGGCAGCCTGCAGGGGGTTTTCTGGTTATCACACCCGCAGAGGGGGTGCCAGTGGGAGAGAACAGGGATGCTGCTACACATCCTACAATACACAGGAAAGCCTCCCAGAGAAAATGAACCAGCCCAGAACATCAATAGCGTCAAGATTTAAAAACTGTCGTCAAATGGATGTGAGAGTCATTCAATATGGCTCTGCCAACGGATTTCCCACAACTGCAGATGGCACTGACTGGAGGGAAAACAGGAACATTTGGAGTCTAGATCTGGTCCTCAAGGTCCTTCACAGGACCTGCTGGGCTGCTGACCCCAGTGCACATCTATACAGTGGGCTACACAAGGTCTCCACCAGGTCAGGGACTGAAGCAGCCCAGGTGGGGCACCCCTCCCAGTTCTAAGATGCACCCTGTCAGGCTTTCTAAGGAGACCTCGTTATCACAGCAAGAGTCCTCACACAGGGTCCAGCTTCTCCCAGCCAGATGCTGTCAAATAGGGAATGTGCTAAGACCCAGGGCTCTAACATATAAACTATTTAATAACAAAGTGGTTGTTTTTTTAATACACACCCAAGGATATGTTTATTTTTTATTGATTTCAGAGAAGAAGGGAGAGACAGAAACATGATGAGAATCATTGATCAGCTGCCTCCTGCACACCCCCTACTGAGGATTGAGCATGCAAGCCAGGCATGTGCCCTGCCCAGGAATAGAACCGTTGAACTCTTGGTTCATAGGTTGATGCCCAACCACTGAACCACACTTGGTCGGGCTATACTGATTTTAGAAAGAAAGGAAGGAAAAAAGAGAAACATTGATTAGTTGCCTCCCATATACACCCGACCAGGGATCAATCCCACAATCTAGGTATGTGCATTGACCAGGAATTGAACCCACAAGCTTCCTAGTGTATGGGATGACTAATCAACTGGGCCACCTGGCCAGGTCTTATCACAAAGTTTTTTAAATGCAAAAAATTGATGAGAAGAATTACTATCTAATGAGTCCTGAAGATTTTTCAGTAACAAGAGGAAAAGAAATCAAAGCTCAGATTAAACTAAATTCTGGTGTGAGACAATTGTCCCCAGGGCCCATCAAAAAAAGTCTATTTCCAGCCGAGACCGGTTTGGCTCAGTGGATAGAGCGTCGGCCTGCGGACTGAGGGGTCCCGGGTTCGATTCCGGTCAAGGGCATGTACCTGGGTTGCGGGCATATCCCCAGTGGGGGATGTGCAGGAGGCAGCTGATCGATGTTTCTCTCTCATCGATGTTTCTAACTCTCTATCTCCCTTCCTCTCTGTAAAAAAAATCAATAAAATATATTTTTAAAAAAAAGTCTATTTCCATTCTTTAAGTAAAGCTAGACACGCATTCCTTCATCCTTTTCTTTTAAATTCTTTTTGTTGAAAGTATTACATACGTCTCCTTTTCCCCCACTGACCTCTCTCAGCCCGCTCCCACCCCCCAGTACAGGTCCTCACCCCCTTACTGTCTGTATCCTCATCCTTTTCTAATAACGTGATAGTTAATTACCAGCTGCTGAATTGTAAGCGAGTGTCCCTGACTACTAATCCAGGAGAAAAGACAGTTATGTAAATATTGTCAATACTGTTCCATGTGTGCATGTGTGAGAAGGCCTATGTGCACTTACATGCAAGTGTGCATGAAAACAGAACACAAGTCCAAGCTGCTCTGAATCCTCTCCCTCCTAAGCAAAGAAACCACAGCTCTCCAGTCACCCCGAGGCAGCTACAAAGACGAAGCAGCAGTTTAAGGGGGGGACGCATGAGCGCCTCAGATAAGAACCACAACCATTTCAGTCTGCAAAATCCTGACGCACAATCCAGGAAGGCTGTGTGTGTGCCCTGCTACTAGCCTAGCCGTAAAAACTTTCCAAAACAAACAAAAACCTTAGTAACTCCCGTGGGAGCCAACCAACAGGCAGACGCCCGGAGGCCGTCTTTCCCTGGGTGTCACTGCCCGCCTCCTTCAGCTTCCAGAATGGCGCCTCTGAGGGAGAAGACGGGCCACTGATAACACACTGGGTCACCAGTGTAGCATGGGGATAAGAAGTACAAATTGGTGGTTACAGGGCAGTCAGGGAAATGTAAAGTAAAGCATAGGAAATATAGTAAATAATTATAATAATTGTAATGATACCTGTTGCCAGATGGGTACTAGATTTATCAGAGTGATCACTTCGTAACTAATATAAATGTTTAATCACTGGGTTGCACACCTCAAACTACTATAATATTGCATATCAACTGTAATTAAAAAACAATAAAATATATTAAGGAAAAAAAAACTTGGGGTACCTTAGAAAGGATGAATGCTTTGGAGTCGCTTTATCCAGCTGTAAAACAACTAAATTTTAAAGTGACTTCCAGCTTTCTCACACCGTGTAAGGCCAAAAAGCAAGACTTCTTCTTAAGTTTTACAACGTGTTCCATCGGCTATCAAGGCAAGTCCAAGGAAGAGGCAGGGCAAACGTAGTTTTACAGTTGTTGGTATGGAAATAATACGATTAAGTAATAATACAAGAATGAACTGTTTTGAGTACTCACAACTGTAAACCTACATTTGTCCCACCATGAATGTTGAATCATGTATCTTTTCTTAAAAAGAATACATGAAATGTTAAAGGTCTGAGTAGCTTATCCAACCCCTTTAATTTTACCATCAGAAATGCCCTGTAAAACCTTTATTTAAAAGATACAGGCAAGCCCTGACTGGGTGGGTGCTCAGTGGGCTGGAGCGTCCTCCCATAAATCAAAAGCTGCGGGTTCCATTCCTGGTCAGGGCACACACCTAGGTTGCATATTCGATACCTGGTCTGGGCACATATGAGAGACAACTGATCAATGCTTCTCTCTTCTGCTTCTCTCTCTCTAAAAAAATTTGTTTTAATTAATAAAAAAGTTGATACCCAAGTACATATTTTTTTTAAAAAAAGATACAGGCAAAATACGCTTGAATACAAACTTTGTGGGGAAAATGCCCTTGCTGGGCCAGGCGTGCAGTGATGCCCACCATCTTTTCCAGGAATGCAGCGGACTCTGAACAAGCCTGCCTCAAAGCCCCCAGTTCTGCAAATATAAACGTGAGAGAAAGTACGGAACAGAACGTTGGGCGGCTCATTTGCTCTCTGAACAACGGAGCCACCCCATTGCCCACGTGCATGCCGGGAGGGTGGGCTGGCAGTCACCAGGTTTCTCCCTGCGGTGGACGCGCAGGGAAGCCCAGGAAACAGGTAGGTCACCTTCAAACGCTTCCAGGAGCCAAACATTTTCACATTTTCAATGGAACTTTGTCCCTAGGAATGAGCTGGCCCAACCCTTCCCAAGTAAACGGACCAACCCACGCTCTGAACCAGAAGAAAACAGGGCGATGTGTCTGCTGTTGGCGTGTCTTTACAGGTTCCCCTGGTCCGTTCCAGGATGAATTTTGTTTCTGAGACAAGAAAATTCCGTTCTAAAGCAGCCCGTCTCCCCCAAACCCCATAGGAGAACCCCATTCCTGATGAGACACACTGGGAATGTCTTATCACTGGAGCTGAAACTCCGCTTTTATGAAGGCGGCTGAAAAGTTTCTGTGAGTTCGGGCAGGTCTCCGGAGCGCCAGGGAAATGGAAACCGAAAGTGAGCGAACACTGACGGACAGATGCGAATCTGCGGGCTGGATGGCGGCGGCGGCGGCTGGGCTGCGTTTCCTAGCGGTAAGGGTGCAGGTCCCAGGGGTGGGGAACCCCGGGCCGAACAGAGGCACACACCGGCG